TATAATTTTTCCAAAAAGTTAACTTAGTGATGCTCTTCAAGCCACCATCCTCCAACCCTGAGTCTTTTGATTGAAGATTGCATTTAAAAAAGTTATTTATAAGAAAATTACAGTTTTGAAATAACTAGACAAGTACAACAGTTTTTAAAATTGAAATCACAATACTCTATCTTCCGGTTGAATATGCAATTTTGTAAAGTGTTGAGATACGATTGAACTCATATATTAAATCAAACCAAACCAAACCAAACCTCAAATCCCATCAAATGGGATCGGCTACATGAATCATTCTTTTCCACGCAGCCTTATCAAAGGCCATTTCATTAGTCAACTCATATATTAAAGTTGTAATTTTATTACAAGGTGGAACATAGGTTCAACTAGTGATTTCATCATGGAATATAAGTAGTTAAGTAGAATTCCCTTTGCGGGTTGTGATTTTATTACAAGGTGAAACATAGGTTCAACTAATGATTTCATCATGGAATATAAGTAGTTAAGTAGAATTCACTTTGCGGGGTGAGAGATGGTTTCTAACAAGAGGTAATGAGCAAAAGTGATTGTTCATGGTGGTAGATGGTCAAAGATAGTGACTAGACCTAATGTGATTATTGGCAAAAGTGGAGGCCGAAGGTGATTTCCATCAAGAGATGGTGGTTGAAAGTGGTTCCCACTAATAGGTCGTATATAAGTGGTGATCAAGCATATATATAAGAGATGATGGCCGAAAGTGATATTGACAAAAGTAGCTGGAAATGGTGGTGTGGGTCGTGGGAGGAAGAATAAATGGGGAAAAAAAATTCTAAACAAATAAAATAAACTTTACTAGTTCAAAAAAGAAAAAATAAAATAGGGTTAAATTCATCTTACCTCATTGTAGTTTGGGACTGTAGCACTTTTTTTGATTAGCAAACAAAAGAAAACTTTATTGATAAATATAAATATACAAAGGATAAAGAGATACATCAATAAAGGAAAAGAAGTGCAAAGATCATCAAAACATAACAATTTGATCCCAACTAGGTTGGTATCGTAAAGCATACTCAATCATATGCTAGCACAAGTCTCAATGTTGGTGAGAAACCAACGAGACCAAAAAAAAAAAATGCAAAACAAACAAACAAAATAACTCTGAAGTAGAATTAGAGGAAAAAACCAGCAACCAGCACCAGATCAATACACTAAAAAGCAAAACAACCACTGATCCTCTTTCAAATGCTTTCCCATGATAGGGAGTAGTTCGTATTATGCTGGTGTGCATCACATATGATTGTATACCTGGATTAGTTGGAGAGAGAGTAGTTGGTTAGGCAATTATATAGTTTGTTGCATAGACACATATAGATATATACATATGGTAGCTAGTATATATAAAGCTCTCCAATGTAACTGATTGATTGTGTGATGAATGAATAAAAACTCGGAAGTTCTTCATGGTATCAGAGCCCTGTTGAGCTCCACCGAGCGATCCATGGGTTCCTCTACAGAATCTTCATCTCATTCTTCTTCCATTCCGCCAAATCTCAACATGCTGATTTCGAATCTAAGTTCTCTTGTTACCGTAAAGCTTGATAACACAAATTTTATCATCTGGAATAACCAGATGCAAAATATTCTTCGTGCAACAGACTTGTTGAAGGTCGTCCGATGGTTCGTTTCCATGTCCTGTTGCTCATATTCGCAATTCTTTAGAAACAGAGGATAGCAATCCAGATGCGATTCAATGGCGGATGATTGATGCATACCTCTTGAGTTGCCTCACAGCTACGCTCTCACCTGCGATTTTTACATCAGTTTTTCACCTACGGTCCAGGTCTGTGGTATGGACTGCACTTGACAAACACTTTACGAATCTTTCTCGCTCACACATTCATCAACTGAAGAACAGATTGAATTCTGTTTCGAAAGGCTCCAATTCGATGGAAATCTATCTAAATAACATCAAATCTATTGTTGATCAACTCAGTATTGCATCTTCATTTGTTGATGATGAGGATATCATTCTTATCGCCTTTAATGGCTTACCGAATGAGTATGATTCTCTTAAGATAGCCATCCGAGCGAGACCTGAAAGTATATCTATGGAAGATTTCTCTTCTTTGCTCTGCTCAGAAGCTCTTCATATTGAAGGCAAGTTGCAACACAACTCAGATCTTCATTTTGCTCATGCAACACAGCGAGATTCCAGTGCCAATGCTTCCAAAGGTTATGTTTCCTATCATAATAATCGTGGCTCTTCTCGTGGTGATTCTTGAGGCACTTTTCGTGCAAATCGATTTAGTTCTAATCGCTACTCTTCTTTTCGAGGAGGTCAATCTCAAAATCGTACCAGATCATCTTTTGGAACCATTTGCCAGATTTGTGGAAAAGCTAATCACTCTGCTTCTGAGTGTTGGCATCGGCTTGATCTTCAATATCAGCCACAATCACCTCAGTCTCAACAATCACCTCATGCTTCTTCATCTGGTGCTTCTGTGCCTCATCAATCCAAGGCTTTTTTCACTACCATACCTGATGACACTGCCTTTCATGCTTCTAGTCCTTGGTTCTTGGACTCTGCTGCTTCTGACCATGTCACAAATGACCTTCATAATCTGAATTCTTATTAGTCCTATACTGGTTCTGATCAAGATACCATTGGCAAAGAAGCTTCTCTTCCTATACATCACACTGGCAAAGGTATTCTCCCCACCCCACACCACTCTTTTAAGCTTGCGAAAGTTCTTCATGTATCTTCCATGCAGTCCAATTTGCTGTCTGTTCAAGAGTTCACCAAAGACAATGATTGCTCCAAAATTTTTGATAAATCTACCTTTTCCATCCAGGATAATCGTTCTAAAGCAATTCTTCACAAAGGTTTTCATGCTAATGGCCTCTACTATTTTCCTGTGGTTTCTTGTCATTCTCCACATGTTTTTGCTGCCTCATCAACATCTCTTTCCACTGCAGCTATATGGCACAAAAGACTCGACCATCCTTCATTTGCAAAATTTCAATTACTGAAATCTCAATTGTCATTGCCTCATCCTTTCAATAAAACTGATTTGTCTTGTGTTGAGTGTTCCATTTCTAAATGTCATAGACTTGCATTTGTCCTTTCTAATTCCAAAACTGATGTTCCATTAGCTTTAATTCACACTGATGTTTAGGGATCGTTTAATTGTTCCTTTAGTGCTTATTGCTATTATGTGTTGTCTGTTGATGATCATAGTCGCTTTACATGGATTTATCCTCTTGTTTATAAAAGCAAAGTATTTTCTAAATTCATGATGTTTAAAGCATTTGTGGAAAAACAATTTGGCTTTCCTCTTAAAATACTTCGCTCAGATGGGGGTGGTGAATTTATCAATACTCAAATGCAAGATTTTTTGAATTCTCATGGTATTCTTCATCAATTTTCTTGTCCCCACACTCCCTCTCAAAATGGAGTTACAGAGAGGAAGCATTTACACATCACTGAAACAGCCATAGCCCTGTTACATCAATCTTCTTTACCCCTATCCTATTGGTTTGAGGCTATTGCTACAGCCACCTATCTCATTAATAGGCTTCCTGGTGCTTCTCTCTCTAACCGTTCCCCTTTTGAACTACTATTCCACATTAAACCAGATTACTCTCATCTTAAAGTGTTTGGTTGCTTGTGCTTCCCCTGGCTTAAGCCTTATTCTTCTCATAAATTGGCACCTAAATCTGAGTCTTGTGTTTTTCTGGGCTATCACCCTTCTATCAAAGGCTACCATTGCCTCAATCCTCTTACACGTAAAATCTTACTCTCTTGCCATGTCACATTTCAAGAGTCCTCTTTTCCATTTTCAGGTCTTTCTTCTATACCTCCCCTTTATCTCCTTACTTTACAATCCTTCTTTTGGTTTTCCACACCTAAGCCTACCTCTATCCCATCCCCATCCCCTATATCTCTGCAGCCTTCTTTTGTCTCCTTACTTACAGCCCCAGAACCAGACCTGCTCGCCCCACAGTCACCCTTCCTCACATCCCCACTGTTGCAGCCTCTGCTGCCGACAGAGCCGCAGTTGCAGCCGCAGCCTCTGCTGCCGTAACTTGCTCATTCATTATAGTCTATTCCTATTGATTCTCTTACTGTGGTGCTCCCTCTTTCTCCTCCCTCTTCCACTACTAATACTCATTCCATGACAACTAGGTCCAAGTCAAAATCTCTGGCCTACTTCCCTCTTTCGGCTCATATTTCTTCTCTTGATCAGTCTGAACCTTCTTCCTACACGGCTACTTTTAACTCTCCACCCTGGTTCAAGGCCATGCTAGATGAATTTAATGCTCTTCAAAAGCATGGCACAAGGTCTCTTCTTCCTCTTCCTCTTTCCAAGCAAGCCATTGGGTGCAAATGGGTATTTCGCCTCAAACATAATTTAGATGGGACTGTTGCTTGCCACAAAGCTCGACTAGTGGCCAAGGGTTTTCTTTAACAATATGGTATCGATTTTCAGGACACATTTAGTCCTGTTGCCAAACAACAAACCATTCGCATTCTTCTTTGTCTAGCTCTCCATCATCATTGGCCCATCAAACAAGTGGATATTAGTAATGCCTTTCTTCATGGTCAACTTCAAGAGGAGGTTTACATGGAATAACCTCCTGGCTTTATTGATCCTACCAAACCTTCCTTGGTGTGTCATCTTCACAAAGCTCTCTACGTTTTGAAACAAGCCCCTAGGGCTTGGTTCTCCACATTCTTAACTTTTCTCTTCTCTCAAGGGTTTATCCAAAGCAAATGTGATTCACCCTTGTTTGTTCATAAAACCCCTTATTCTCTTACCTACCTTTTGATATATGTTGATGACATCCTACTAACTAGTTCAAATGAGTCTTACATTCAAACTCTCTTAACTGCCATGCATCACACTTTTTCCATGAAGGACTTGGGCTCTCTGTCCTATTTTCTGGGTATTTCAGTCCAATCCTTCCCTTCTGAGTTTTTTCTCTCCCAAACAAAATATGCCACAGACTTATTAGCTAAGGCCGGCATGGTTGACTGCAAACCTTGTGCCGCCCCTATCTCTCTGAAACTTCATATTTCCTCTGATTTCTCTCTTCCTTATCCTAAGTCCTCTCTTTATAGGAGTCTCACCATCACCAGACCTGAGCTGTCTTACGCTGTCAATCAAGCTTGTCAACACATGCATTCTCCTACCATTGCTCACTTTTCGACTGTCAAGCTGATCTTGCGATATGTTAAGGGTACTCTCCATTTTGGTCTACAGTTCCATCCCAGTCAGTTTCATTTGCACGCTCATAGTGACTCAAATTGGGCTGGGGACTCCACTGATCGCCGATCTACTTCTGGCTACTGTGTCTATTTAGGTACCAATCTCATATCTTGGTCCTCCAAAAAGCAAGCCACTATTTCCCGATCATCCACTAAAACTGAATACCGCAGTCTTGCTCACACTGCTGCCGAGCTGTCTTGGTTACAAATGCTTCTAATTGAGTTCTCCATTCTTCACTCTACTTCTTCTACGTTATCCTGTGATAACCTCTCCTCCATGTCATTGGCTACCAATCCCGTTTTTCACAGCCGATCCAAACACATTGAAGTCGACTGTCACTTTGTCCATGAAAGAGTTGCTTCCAACAAACTTCTCCTCAAATATGTTCCTTCTGCTGATCAAGTGGCTGACGTTTTTACAAACCCCTCTCTACTGCTCGGTTTTCCTTTCTCACTGACAAGCTCATGGTTTCTTCAACTCCCATTAGCTTGTGGGGGCATGATAGGGAGTAGTTCGTATTATGTTGGTGTGCATCACATATGATTGTATACCTGGATTAGTTAAAGAGAGAGTAGTTGGTTAGGCAGTTATATAGTTTGTCACATAGATACATATAGATATGGTAGTTAGTATATATAAAGAACTCCAATGTAATTGATTGATTGTGTGATGAATGAATAAAAACTCTGAAGTTCTTTATCCCATTATTCAACATCAACCAATGGACTTTCTCACCTGCTGCAAATTATCCACAAAGCCATGAATAGAATAAAACTTCCCTAGGGAATGAGTCTTCATCCATACTGCCACAAGCTTATCCAGGCTCGAACAAGATGGTTGAGCTCCATTAAAAATAATCAGTGTGTTTGGTTTGAGTTTTCTAGATTAAGTTTTTTGAAAATTGACTTTTTTGGTTTTTGTGCCTTTTTGTTTTTAGCGAATATTTTTAAAATTTTAAACATTCTTTTTACTTTTTTAGATGCACCTTACTTAGATGTATCTAAAAAGTAAAAAATTTGTGAAAAAATATTTTAAAAAATTAACAAATACATAAAAATATAAAAAATATACTGAATTCTTGTATTTTTTGTATTTTTGGTATTTAGTGAATTTTTAAAAGATTTCTTTTAAATTTTTTTTACTCTTTAGGTGCATTTATGTTAGGTGTGTCCAAAAAGTAAAAAAATTGCTTAAAATATTAAAAAAATTCAGTAAAAACAAAAAAACACGGAAAATAAGAAAGTAAAATTTTCTAAAAAGTGTTTTTTGAAAAGTGAAAACAAGCAAGGTGAATGTCATCCAAAAAACTACACAAGGCAATGCTTTCCATATTTGCATTTCACCCTTCTTGAATTTTCATCCCTTCCACGAATTGAGCTCATTTAAGTAGATTTTGGAGTTGCCCATTGGCATCCCCACCAGTTAATTATTTCAATCCAATTTAACCAAACTAGATTGCAATTCAACATTAGATAATCCACAGATTATGGCTCCGATTTGCAAAAAATACAAGTTATATCCACACCATTATTTAACACACCAATCCTTTGTAGATGCATAAGGGTTTTCAACCTACTCTTCCAAACCAGCCATGTAAAAAATTGTGCCTTTGGAGGGGCAAAATTATTCGAGATGAGGGTAGAAATGGCAACAGCAGGTCCTCATTAAGATTTACACCACTTTAAAGATGAACTAACGCTATACTCCCTTGAGCTATCAGCTTTCCAAATGAGTGTATCCTCTAATCCTGGATGCAAAGCTGGGCCTATCCCTAGACTACTATGCATTCTTGCAACTTCCTCTTCCTCCCAAGCCATAAACTACCTTCTAAATCTCAGATTCCAATTACAAGCACTGAGTTTGTTAGAAACAAAAAACTTCAAGGGCTCATTCTTGTCTAATGACAGATGAAAAAGTCTAGGAAAGAGCTCATATAACCTGATCCCTCCACACCAGTTATCTTCCCAGAATGATATCCTGCCTCCATCCCCTATTTTAATCTCAATATTTTCCATAAAGTACATTAAGAGCATAGAATTAGAGGACAAAGCACCAATGATATCACTCCATAAATTTGACATGGATACCATTGCAATTTGGTTAGGAAACCATTTATCCCCTTCCACCCAGTATTTAATGCAGATGAGGTTTTTCCACAGTGCATTCTTCTCAATTCTAAACCTCCACTCTTTACCCCCTATCGTTCAAATATAGTCAGAAAGTCCCCATGTAACTTTAGATTAAAGTGCTATCATTAGTTTTTCCATCTAAACAAACGAAATGTGTATTACATACAATTTTTTAGAGTGTGCATATTTTTTTTAATGGAAAATTAGAAAGAAATTAATACAACAAAAGGAAAATTTTACCCCAATTTTCTCCAAACCTAAAATTAGATTATTATATTAATTAAAATAAAATAAGTTAAACTAAAATATAATTAAGAATTAATTTAAAATATAATTAAATAAAATATAAAATAAATAATAATTAAGAATTGATCTAAAATATAAATAAATTAAAATTAGATTAACATGTTAGAAATTATAATAACTAATTAAGAATTTGGGATTAATTTTGACATAAAATATTTAAATTAAAATTAGATTAAAAAGTTAGTAATTGTAATAAATAGTTAAATATTTAGGATTAATTGTGATCTAAAATATAATTAAATTAAAAACAGGATAAAAATTTAAGAATACAATAAATAATTAAGAATTTATGTCATATTATTGAGAATCTTATAATACTTCATCTTATTCAAAACTGGAGAGTACACAAGTGTATATATACAGTGCAACAAAATATCTAATCAAATTTATACAAAATATCTAATCCTATCAGCACAACTCATGATTAGTCTAACTAACTATATACAAACTATAACAACTTGATATTCTAACCACCACAACTAATGCCATTGTAGCACTCTAACTTAAGACTACTATTACAGGCCTATGATGAACAATCCATAACAGACAGAGGCAGAGGCTGCAGTTCAGCTGGTGGGATAACTCCTTCATCCTCAAGCTGATAGGGCAAGGAAGCACTAACAACTTGTCACGAAGATAATGAAACCGAGAAGGGGAAAGAGGTTTAGTGAAGATATCAGCCACTTGATCAACTGTAGGAATATATTTGAGCTCAATCTGTTTGGCAACCACTTTTTCTCGAATAAAATGGCAATCGATCTCGATATGCTTGGACTTAGAATGAAACACATGATTGGACGCTAAAGCCATAGCAGACAAACTATCATACCAGATAACAGGAATAGCAGGAGAGGAAACATATAAATCCTTGAGTAACTGCTGGAGCCAAGTAAACTCAGCTGTGGCGTGAGCTAAGGTTCGATATTCAGCTTCAGTGGATGACTGAGAGACAGTAGCTTGCTTTTTAGCTGACCAGGAAATCAAGTTTGAGCCAAGTTAAACACAATAACCAGAGGTAGATTTTCGATCAAAACTGTCACTAGCCCAATTAGAGTCTAAAAAAAGTAGAAAGAGAAAAAGGACTAGGTGTGAAAGAGAGACCATGAAACAAAGTCCCCTTAACATACCTAAGAAGCCTCTTAACTGCTTGAAAATGAGCATTTGTGGGAAGATGCATAAACTGACAAGCCTGATTGACAGCAAAGGAGAGATTAGGTCTACTGATAGTCAAATATTGCAGACCACCTAGTAAACTCCTATACAGAGAAGGCTGAGAAAATGGTAGAGAATCAGCTCCAGAAGGCACTGTCTTAACAACCATAGGAGAAGAGCATGGTTTGCAGTCTTGTAAACCTACTTTGTGCAATAAGGCAGTTGCATACTTGCCTTAAGATAAGAAATAACCATGCTTATGAGTATGAACTGAAATGCCCAGAAAATATGACAGAGAACCAAGCACTTTCATTGAAAAAGCCTTGTGCATTTGCTGAAGAAGTTGAGCAACTAGAGCAGAATCATCGTCAGCTAGTAAGATGTCATCAACATACACCAAGAGAATGGTGAGACTAGTAAAAGTTTTCTTGATAAAGAGAGAAGTATCAGACAGACTATTTGTGAACCCTTGAGAGAGGAAGAAGGCTAAAAAAGTAGAGTACTAAGCGCTAGGGGCTTGCTTGAGACCATATAAAGCCTTCTTGAGTTTACAAACATGAGTAGAAGATTGGACAAATCCGGGAGGCTACATCATATAGACCTCTTCCTGAAGAATGCCATGAAGAAACGCATTGGAAATATCAAGTTGTTTGATAGGCCATTGAAATTGAAGAGAAATACTTAAGAATATTATGATTGTGGGTTGTTTAGCCAGCGGACTAAAAGTCTCACTTCCTGTTGCAAAAACCCCTTTGCCAGCAATGTAGCCTTATAACGAGCAATTGTACCATTGGAATCTCTTTTAATGTGAAAAGCCCATTTACACCCAATGGCAATCTTATGAGATGGAAGGTCAACAAGGTCCCAAGTGCCTTGTTGTTGAAGAGCTTGACATTCTTCCTTCATGGCTTGAAGCCACACAAGAGATTGAAGAGCAACCTGAATAGATGTAGGTTCAGTGTCAAGAAGAGAGGCAGTAGCAGAAAGGCATTGAGGAAGTTTGTGTTTGGATCTAGTAAGCATGGGATGTGTGTTAGAGACAAAAGTAGGAAGAGAAAGAGGAGGTAAGTCAATGGTAATAGAAGAAATAGGAATAGGCTGAGCAAGAGAAGCAGGAGCAAGAGGAGAAGAAGAATGACGCTCAGAATGAGCAGTAGATGTCACAGAATGAGATGGAACAGAAGAAGAACAAGAAGAAGGCTTAGAATGAAGCATAAATGAAGAAATGGGTGAAGAAGGCCAGAAAAATGAAGTAAGAGCAGACAAATTTGAAGATAAAGGAGAAGGAACTAAGGACTGCTGAGAGAAAGGAAAAAAGGATTCATTAAAGACTACATGCCTAGAAATGTAGACTTTGCCAGAAAGAGAATCAAGACACCTATAACCCTTAATAGTAGGATGGTAGCCCAAGAAAACACAAGAAATGGATTTAGGTGCTAGCTTGTGAGGAGTATAAGGTTTTGACCAAGGGAAACATTGGCAACCAAACACTTTGAAAAATAAAAAATCAGGTAAGGTATGGAACAACATTTCAAAAGGAGTCTTGTGATGTAAAACACTAGAGGACATCTTGTTAATAAGAAAAGTAGCTGTGGCAATGGCATCAAACGAAAAAGTAATTGGAACAGAAGAGTGATGAAGTAGTGCTATTGCAGTTTCAGTAATATATCTATGTTTGCGTTCAGCTATGCCATTTTGGGCCTGAGTATAGGGACAATTGCTTTGATGAACTATGCCCTGAGAAGACAACAAAGTATCAACTCTTTTATTAACAAATTCAGTACCACAATTAGTCCTAAGGATCATAAGTGAAGTCTGAAACTGATTTTCAATATAGGCTTTGAATACACACAATTTATCATACACCTCACTCTTGTAATTCAAAGGATAAACCCAAGTGAATCTACTATAACGAAAAGGTGCATTAGCCACTGTGAAAGGACCCCATACATCACT